AGAGAGAGAGAGAGAGAGAGAGAGAGAGAGAGAGAGAGAGAGAGAGAGAGAGAGAGAGAACTGAACTGCTTGTCCTGATGTAAGCTATCAGGCATTATGAACGCCGGTCGAAAATGTTCTGGAAGGTCAAGCATTCTGTAGTCGAAATGATCCTCTTGAAACTTCCCTTGATACGCTAGATTATGCACACACAATGCAACCTGGTAAAAAATTCCATAAGTTAAACGAACAATGAAAAAAGACCAAGTCAGCTTCCACCTGTGATTCAGTTCGCGCACCCGCCCACCTGAGTTACACTTCACACATGCTTACAAGAAAATGCACTACCTTGTAACCTTGTTCACCCGAATACGACCAATACAATAGACGCTTTTTCTGTATTTAGACTGGAAGATACCCCACATACAGCTGTAATGACCACCGTACATCGTATTTGGGTGAGAGGATGAGCAAGGAAGGAAACCATTACTTCGCCGACGGCAGGCGTTAGGTCACTGACAGTGTATTTATTACGCACTCAGTCTGATATATGTAGCTTTGCTTCTCTCTTTCTTTTTTCATTAAACACTTCCAGTCTTCCAGATAAGCCTGTGATTCGCTGATTCCCTTGCCATTGTCCCCACATTTATGTCAATTGAAATCAAGTCTGTTCCCTTATTCTCTCTCTGCTCTCTATATCTGTAATTTAGACCCAATTTAGCCCCAATTTAGACCCAATTTAGACACAATTTAGACCCGATTTAAACCCAGTTTAGACCGAATTTAGACGCAATTTCTTGATATGCCATGGTCTACTCCATGACCTCTTGGTTCCCTTCAGAGTCTTCACCTTCCGACTACCACCTTTTTGCATTCGGATAATTTTTTCGGATTATACGATAATTATACTGCCATCATCATGTCATCATATGCCGTGTGAGTGCATTGAAAACTAGAAAGGCCATTTTGTAGTAATGCCGTGTGAGTACATGATGTACATGGACAACTAATGAACCAAACAAGTTCCAGTGCATCCCACAAACACTGCACAGTGCACACCGAACGGATGCTTAACAGTTACAAGCTGTCTTCGCGGTCAGATGCAGACATGATCATTGATCAGGGTGCGTGGTGCAGGTGGCAACACTCCGGAACACGGTTGTGTATTCTGTAATTCTGTTATGTAGTCCTGCCGTGGGCGTGCATGGAGATCATGAGAAGCTAATGCATCCGTCTTTTTTACTCTGAACTGCAGGTCTCAAACTGAGAATGGATAAGAATCATGAGATGAAGTTGATGAATTTTGAATTCTGGAAAAATAAAATAAAATCCTAAGTTAATATTTGACTGCTGCAAGAAGCCCCAGCGAAAGTGCACTTACATAGAACAGGCTCATGCCCATGCCCATGCCCA